AGTCTAGATCCTTCCAGATGCAGTGGGGAGCCAGAGAACAGACATCCCCCCCTGTGTCCCTGACAGTCAGCTTATGGGCTCCTTTCTTTTTCCCTCCCACAGTTGATGAAGAAGATGAGTATGAATGTGTCAGTGTCCTCAACTCTCATACACAGGATGTCAAGCATGTGGTTTGGCACCCAAGCCAGGAGGTAAGAGTGAGGTGAAGTTTCTTGGTGGGAAGGAATTTTGGTGTGGAGGGTTGTACCCAGCCTTCCTCTGCTCTTCAGCCTCAACCTGACTTTTATGGGGATCTGTGTCTGTGACCAAAAGACATTATTAATCCCTTTATAGAGATGGATCGCTGGGACTGTCCTAGCTGGGAGAGGTATTGGAACTATTGGCACGTCCTGAGCCCCATAGACAAGCACTGTGTTTCGCTCCCCCCCCCAGCTGTTAGCCTCTGCAAGCTATGATGACACAGTGAAGCTCTACCGGGAGGAAGAGGATGATTGGGTGTGCTGTGCCACCCTCGAAGGCCATGAATCCACTGTGTGGAGCTTAGCCTTTGACCCCAGTGGCCAGCGCTTGGCATCTTGCAGCGATGACCGTACTGTGCGTATCTGGCGCCAGTATCCACCGGACAACGAGCAAGGTGAGCGGCCGGTCAGAGAGCTACAGGAGACTCCTCACAAGGTTCGCAGTCTGCTCAGGATCTAAGACACATAGACGAATCACAGCAGATTGGAGTAGAAAGGGGGATGTGCCACGAGAGGGCTGCCCAGCGAGTGCTGGACAATCAGGGAAGGCTGTGGAAGAAGAGCCATTTCATCCGAACTGGAAAGTGTGTATAGGATTTTAACACAAGAAGAATTTAACAGGAGAAGAGACTTCTGGGTGAAAACAGAACAGCATGAGCAAAGGCATTGAAGGTGCAAGAGCCTAGATTTACGCCAGGAACCATGATTCCTTTAGATGGAGCATAGGGTGTAAAGGATCTGGGGAGTAATAAGGTGGGTCGGGTGGCTGGTTGGGTTGGTTAGTGGCCTTAAAAGGCAGGCTAACTAGTCAGACATAGTCTGCAGCAAAAAGTTTTTAAAGTGCAGGACCTTTCCTTCTCAGAATTCTGCTGTAAAAATCCCTGTGTAGCCACAGTATGTAAGGCAGATCAGTACGGATGGGGACTGAGGAACAAAATGAGGCCTCCTGATTGAAGCGGGGGGTGAGGGAGGGCAGTTGAGGAGCTCCTCCCCTGAGGTGCCCAGGACACAGACATGTCTGAGGCTCAAGAGAAGTCTGTTGTGCAGGGGTGGCATGCAGCGGCTCTGACCCCAGCTGGAAATGTATCTGCACTTTGTCGGGCTTCCACTCCAGGACCATTTACGACGTTGCTTGGTAAGACCTCCATCCCCACACCCACCCATTTGGAGAGATCTTAGAGAAGACAAAACCCCGTGCTTCTCTCTACCACCTTTGGGAATACATGGACATAGAGAGCAAGCCACCCTCATTTCTTCCGACCAGGCCGACTGTCTGCCGTGCTGGCCTAGGGCCGGCTGGCCTGAGGTTCACAGGAGCAGGGAACAGACTTACAGACCCAGGCCTGTACCTACTTTAAGATCACAGGCGGTGAGGGCAGCACCAGCCTTGTGCTGGGGAGGGAGGGGGGGTCACACAGCCTCATACATCCAGAAATATTCTTGAAATTGGATTCATGGGTGCGGTTTTTATGGTTTGGTAACCCTGACTCTACCCTTATGGAGTCCAGAAAAGCCATACCATTCATACAGGAGAGTGGTCAGAGGGCAGTCCTAGGAATCTGTCCGGAGGAAATAATCCTAAACGATGAAAATAGTTGATGTGCATCTAAGCTTTACTTATATTAGCAAACATTTGGGAATGACGAAAGTGACCTTAGGAGAAGTGTGGTAAAATTCAGCGGCCTATTACTGTTTAAAGAAATAGTTAAGAATGACTTGCAATAAGGGAAGCTGCTTATGCTAAGTGAGAAAAGTGCAGTTCAGAATCTTGGAGTTTTTTGGGTTGCCTGGGGAAACCTAACCTAGATGGCAGCCCTTGAAGAATTAGGGGGTGATGTTTGTGGCTGTGTGTTAGGGAAGCTTCTCAATAATAGACTTTGAGCTGAGGCCTGCAGTTTGGGAAGAGCTGCCCAAGGACTGCAGAACCAATCTCTTTTGCCTCATCTGCCAGGTTGGGGAGGGAGGAGCTGCCTGCATACTCACTGATGCCCATGTTCCTGCTAGGTGTCAGCTGACAGGGGCCCTGGCTACAGCTTGTGGGGATGATGCCATCCGTGTGTTTGAGGAGGATCCCAGCTCAGATCCACAGCAGCCCACCTTCTCCCTGACAGCCCACTTGCCTCAGGCCCATTCCCAGGATGTCAACTGTGTGGCCTGGAACCCTAAGGAGCAGGGGCTCCTGGCCTCCTGCAGCGATGACGGGGAGGTGGCCTTCTGGAAGTATCAGCGACCAGAAGGCATCTGAGCCACCTTGACTCTGGACAGAATCATGGTTCCCCAGAAAATGTCTTAAGACTTTCCCAGCCCCAAGAGGACCTGGAAGGAGCATCCTTGACCTTCATCTTAACTTGGCTCTCTTCCATTCAGACTTGGGTAGAAGTGCGGAGCCACAGAAACACTCAACTCTCCCCCCCTTTGACACGGGGCCCTTCGTAAAGAGCTACAGAACATCAGTGCGTCGTGGTTATGCCACAGATTTTGCCTGCTTCAGGGCACAGTGTTCAATTTTGAGGGGTGAATATAGTATTTATAGTCACCATATCTCTGTGTAGAAGGGGTACATCTTAGGCTTTTCGGAAATTGGAAGCTTTATAGAAATAGGTCATCTGAGTCCCAAGTCCTCTTTCATAAGGACATTCACAACTTAAAAGAATTCCATGGTGAGTCCTTTTCAGAAATAAGTCCTACCTTCCTGATTTCTGGGTAAATTCTTACATTTAAGACATTCAATCAGTATTGAAGGAAATTTTTTAACGTAGGCTGGCTTAGAGTAAGACATGCTTCTGCTTTCCCTTAGAAACTTGTGTATCTTCTGTGCCATCATGCTGTGGTGGCAACTGGAAATGCTGAAAAATAAATGGGGAAGGGTGTGAAGCCTAAGAGGGAGTTATTACTGACTACAGGCCATACATTCTCAGTGGGGCTGAAAATCAGTTCTTGGGTAGGGGGCAAAAAAATCGTAGAGACCATAATTAGTGGCTCTCTAATGAACCACTACTATTAAATTTTCATGCTATGGGCAAATAGAAAAAAGACCTATAGTAAGGCTCATTAGGGGCATGATAATGAAAAAAGGTAGAGAATCACTCCTTAAGCTATCACTTTGATCTCATTCAAATTGTCTTCTGGAAGTCCCTTCCAAATGGGTTTTGACTTGAGGACTGTCCCCAAAACTACAGCCTTCACCGGCTACCACAGAAATCACCACCTTAGATTTTGAAAAGACAGCTGAGGCGGTGCCTAGCGCAGTGGCTCTCAGAGGGTGGTCCCAAGAGCCTCTTAGGGGACCTGTGTGGTCAGCTGTGGCAGGAGTCAAAGCAGCGGCACCCCATACTAGTGGTCAGTCTTCACTGCCTTGCCCTCACCTCGCTTAGAAATGTCCTGGATAGAACCAATTAAAAACTGTGTTAAATCTTGACCTTGAGAACGCAGCTAACATGCTGACAGTGGGAAGCAGGATAAAGCCCTTGCGCTGCACACTCAACTAAGACTGTCTTGACGAAAAGCAGTTGTGCAAGCTGAACTGTCCTCGTGGCCCCATCTTGAAAAAACTAGCAAATTATGTTACTTAGACTTGGCTTATCTGGCAGACTTTTTCTGGGAAATGGATGGAGTGAGCCTTTCACTTCAAGGGAAACTCGTAGCGTTGCTAATGAAAAAATAAAGCTCTCAAGCAAAAAATAGAATTTTCAAAAACTTTTATTGCCACCATGAGCTTGACGTCTTCCCTAGGCTTAGACTTTTCTGATGAGATTGGTGGTATCAACAGATTTGGAAGATATGCCTAAATCAGTGAACCAACATTTTCCAAATGTCTAATGCATGATATTACAAAATCTTTCACGGTTAAGAAATTTATTAAAAGGGTAAGACCAAATAAAAATCTTTAAAAAGTGGGGGGGAGGGCACCTCGGTGACTCAGTAGTTAAACATCTGCCTTCTGCTCAGGTCATGATCCCAGGGTCCTGGAACGGAGCCCCACATCGTGCTTCTTGTTCAGCAGGGAGCCTGTTTCTCCCTCTCCTGTCCCTCCCCCTGCTTGTGCTCTCTTTTTCAAATAAAGTTGTAAAAAGTGTAAGACCAGTGGGTTTTTTAAGATTTTAGAGAGAGAGCATGAGTGGGAGGGACAGAGGGAGAGAATCTCAAGCAGAGCCCAACGTCGAGCTCTATCTCACAACCCTGATCACGACCTGAGCTGAAACCAAGTCAGATGCCTAAATGACTGCACCACCCAGGCCCCCCCAAGACGAGTGGTTTTAACTGAAGCTTATTTGATGAGGTTTCAGATTCCGCATTGCCTTTAAAAAAAACTATCACTTGTGGAGTCTCAGTGTAATATCAAATAGCTAATCACCCGAAAAGGCTTTAAAAACCCTTTTCTGGGGGCACCTGGGTAGCTCAGTTGGTTGGGCGTCTGCCTTTGGCTCAGGTCATGATCCCAGGGTCCTGGGATCGAGCCCCGAGTTGGGCTCCCTGCCCGTGGGGAAGCCTACTTCTCCCTCTCCTCCCTCTGCTGCTCCCCCTGCTTGTGTTCTCTCAACTGAATAAACAAAATCTTTAAAAAAAATTATTTTTAAATGCATTAAGTTTTGTTTTAATCCTTAGTATAGTAAACATCAATAGATAAAACCAAGATGATAAAATATCTTTGAGGTTCTTAATTTTTTGGCGTGTAAAAGGCGTCCTAAGATCCTATTACTTGAAAACTGCTGACCTAGAGAAACGCTTGAAAATCATTTCCCAATTTTATGCACATTTATTCCTAAATAACAGAAGGCAAGAATTTGAAGAGGAAAATTTGTAAATCTAGATCACAGAATTGGGAAAAGTTTTCAATTATCAATAGTCGCTCCTCGGATAGACCTCATTGGCTACGATACTGCCACTGAGCGAAGAATTGGTTTACCAAGACTGGGCCACACCCAGCTTGTGCATTTTAATCCCCTTTCTGGTACTGCCTCCTTATGGGAGGGGACACTACAGATCTTGAGAGACTCAAGTTCAGTGTTAGTTCCTAACAGTGCTGATATCTGGGTAAAAAGAGAGGTGGGAGACAAGGGCATAAATCTGACAGCTATCTTTTTTTGTTTTTTAAAGATTTTATTTATTTATTTGACAGAGAGAGACACAGCGAGAGAGGGAACACAAGCAGGGGGAGTGGGAGAGGGAGAAGC